AAAAACATTTCAAAGGTGGGGGTGCTGAGAACCCTTGCTACGCCACTGACGTGCACTCATGTTACTGTATCAAATAACATAAGACTGACCTTTGGTCTGTACAAAGTAATTTGTCTTGGCTGTGTTTTAGTAGACTAGTATTTTGTAAAATACAGTCACATTTCAATAATTATACGTTATATATGTATATAGATTGTTGCTGTTTTGAAATAAGCTCTTAAACTTATTTTTCTTAAAACATAGAACAGTAACTAAAGAAGTAATTCTCAAACTTATTTTTCTTAAAACATAGAACAGTAACTAACGAAGTAAAGCAAACAATTATCTCTTCTAGTTATGACCTATCTGCTCAGTTGCTGCTTGATGTAGGTTGCTAAGCCTTTAAAAAATTGAAAAGATAAGAGGCTCTTATCTTTTATTCTCGCTTGTCAATGTCAATAATTTGAGTTTCTAATTTGTATGAAACTCCAGACTTAGTACTTTGACTTCACAAACATCTAATTTGAAGCAGTGCTGCATTCAACATACCACGTGTCACACAAAAATTGATGTTTATCTATGTTTTTTAATATTTGCTCTTGAATTAAATAATTAAGTAATACATAGTACTAAAAGTTGAATTATAATCTACAGTTTAATACCAAAGTTATTGACATAAATTCATCAAACAGTAGTTCAATAAAATTTTGAATGCAAGTCAACAAATGAGATGACATGGCCTTTCACCCGTGACCCGTCTCGAAAGGGTTAAGCAGATATTATATGGATAAAAAATATTTACTCTGTATTTTTACTTGCTCCTCAAAATTAGTACAGCTTTTTGTGTTACATAGACACATTATATATATCTATAGGGATATATTTTTATCATAATTCATAATGTTAGTGTCAATGAAAGCAAAAAATCTCTCATAATAACATAACACAATATTTAGGGACAACAAATACCTACTGGTCCATCCAAGCTGTCCCGTCCACTAAACTAAACTGCTGAAAAAAAAAAACCCTCAAAGCCAGCCCTTATCATTCCTTTACTTATCAAGCCTTCCCTTAAACTCACTTAAGTTTACTGTCTCCACCACATCTAAAGGCAACCTATTCCAAAGGCCAACCACTCTATTAAAAAACATAACTTTCTTAGCTGACATAACTTATTGACCATTCCTTCATCTAGCAAAACTCCTTAACATTGTTTACATTAATATATATTAACTCATAAAACAACGTATTTGATATAGTAATATTCCTCAACATTCTACCAGAAAATACATCATAAACAGAAATTTAATTACTTCAAATAACTTGCTTTTCTCTTGTACTGGATCAGTTTTAGACTGTATAACACACATACTTTCTTTGAAAGTGTAAAATATATTTTAAAGCAAGATTAGTCCATTACTTTTAAATTAATAAAAAATTTATTGATATTAAAGATACCCATAAAGAGACTAGCAACTTTAAGCAAAGAAACCACAAGCAGAAACAACTTAGTGTCACATTTTGGAAAGTGTAAAAGTACATTATACATTTCCAATTGAAATTCAAATGCAATTTATTTCATTGCCTGCTATGTTTCACTTTATCTCTACTTACTTTCGCATTTCTTTGTAATTATTAATCTCAACTAAATGTATTAACAAACTATGGATATGTGTGATGAAATACATATAATTTGTGTATTAAAAGTTTTTTGTATTTATCTTGACTTCACTATGTTATTGCCATTGCGTTATCTTTGATGCAGCTGAAAATGAATTTATGTTAACATAAAGTATTAAAATTGGTGAAAAAGTCCCATTATTTAGTTTTTCAATACTAAA